GCTTACACAAATGCCATCTTACTGTCCCCAGCCAGTGATTCAGGCCATTTACTCAAATCCACGTTAATGAGTTTTTTCCTGTCACCTAATTAGTTCAGAGTGAACTCAGCCTGGAAAAAGAAGATAGAAACAGGCTAAGAAAAGGACAGAAAAAAGCAGCCAGTGGGGAAACTACAACAAAGGGCAGGGCTTAGCTCTAAATGAGGCTCTCGAGTCCGCCCCCTAAAAGATCCAATAGTATTTCCCCAGCTATGGGAACTTCTACACACAGGAAGAGAGCGTTCAGGTGTAGGAGCCCCCTGGGCCTAGCTCAAAGAGGTGAAGACGGGAATGCAGCTCTCACTACAACACCAAGTAGTGGACAGGCCCCCACCCAGAAGCCCATGTCATCAGGAATCAGCCTTGGCTCTCCCCCATGATTGAGAAGACAGATCCCAGCACCTGCTGGTGGGTGTCCCCTTGGAACTGAGTCGGAGGCCCAAGCAGATGGTACAGGATAAGGCTCATCTGCCCTAGCTTGCTGGAAGGTCACTATGCCACAAACCACCCAACCATCACACCAGAATTAGTGGGGCATTTGGCAGCAGCCACAAGTACTGGGCCCCAAAACCCAAAGAACAGAACGCTGGACATAGCAGTGACCTGGGGTTTCCGGTTCCCGACGCCTGAGGCAGCCTCCCTGGAGGTCAGTGGGCAGCAGCCCCGCGCATGCCTCAGGAGTGAGGAGACTCTCGGGTACCCTGTGCTTGAAGACCCGGCCCGGGGTCCTGAGGGCCAGTAGGATGGCTCCCACAAGGTCGCAGCACCCCAGCCCACTCCAGGCCCTGCCCACGCCCTCCACGCCATGGGACGGTGGGGTGGTGCGTCGCGAGAGGACGCCGAGACCGGGAAGACTGCCATTCACTAACGGAGGTTCGATCACCCGCCTTACCACCGGGCAACAGCTACGGAGCCTCCAGGGCCTCAGCCCCACCTCCAGCCGTCTCCAGGCCTTCAGCGCCCAGCCTCCCCACCCTCCCCAGCCATGTCTTAACATACTCAGCCCCTGGCCCCAAAACCTCTGCGACATGGGTCCCAAGAGCAACACCACCCTCGCACAATGGAGCATGAGCCGCAAAAAACACGTCCCCTAGGGCTGGACCAATCTCTCCGACCCCAAAGTGTCCCCAGACCAGACGTGGCGAGGCCTGGATACGTGCTCTGCAGCGTCCCGCAAACCGCGTGGCCCGGACCTCGGGCGCGCCAGGACACCTCCGCCGAAGACAGCGAAGGCCGGCCAACGCGGGAGAGTCCACCGCGCCCCAGCACCCGCCGCCCCACGTTCCGCTCACCCTCGATGGAGATGACGTGCTCCCGGATCTGGTTCTGCAGCGCCAAATCCTCGATGCGCTCGATCAGGTCGTAGATGGCGTAGATGTTGGGATGCACTGATTCGAAGCGCTGGATCTCCGCGCGGATGGCCGCAGAGTTGGAGAGCGCGAACTGCTGGGGCGGCCCGCCTGCCAGCTGCTGCGAAGGGCCGCCGCCCCCCGCCCCCGGCCCCGCGCCGCCGAACTGCCCACTGCCACCGGCACCCCCGCCGCCGCCGCCGCCGCCCCCCGGAGCCGCCAGGCTCTGCTGCTGCTGCGGGCTCTGCCCCCCGCCGGCCTGGAAGTTCATGGCTCCGGAGCCGCGGGCCCGAGCGGGGCCCGGGGCGGCGCAGTGGCGGCGGCGAGCAGGCGTGCGGGGCTGGCGGGGCCGGGACTAAGGAGCCGGCTGCGTGGGGCTATTGCATGGGGCCGGGGGCCTAGGCCAGGAGGCGCTGTCACGCACGCTGTGGCCGCCGCCAGGCGCTTCCCAGCGCCGCGATCCCGCTGCCTCGCCGCTGCCTCCAGCGGCAACAACAACGGGACCGGGAGCGCGCGGCCCGGGCCCTCCCCCCGCGTCATGCGCACGCACCGCCGCCCCCGCCGGCTCCAGCACACGCAGCCTAGCCCCCCTCCCCGCCGCCTTCGCCCCAGCCCCAGCCCCCGCCCCCGCCCCTCCTGCGCCCGCCCCAGCGCCCCCGCCCCTCGCTCGCTCACTAGTTCGCGGGCACTGCAGCCTCCGCCCCCGGGCGACGCGCGCAGGCCCTGACGCCCGGCCCCTCCCACCGGGCCTCGGCCCTTCCGCTAGATCGTTGCCCCGATCCCCGCTGCCTGCGGCGCTACCCGCTTGCGGGCACAGCTGCCCTGGCCACCTCTGGGTCGACTGTCGCCTTGCTCTTTCTGCGCTAGCCTGTGGCAGGGATGGGGGGCGGGGTGGGTATCAGATCTCCGGACATGTCTGAATAGTGCCCTGTGCCTGGGGTTGCTAATTTTTGGGATTGATTGGCCGAGGAGCCAGGGCCCCACTAAACCTCGTTCACGATGTCCTGCGTTCAGTGCAGCACAGGCTTCTCTGTCCCCAGGCCCAGAGATCAGTCATAGTGACCTTCCTGCCCACCAGATCCTCTTCATGGCTTCCAGCCACAGTATCCACTGCTGGCCACAGCGCACAGGCTGAGATGGCTCCCTGCCTATTTCCTTTTTCTCTTGAGAGCGAGCGTCATTAGAAGGCTTCTGGAAATTACACTTTAAACAACTGTCCCTATTCAGTCTTCCTGTGACCAGCCTCTCCTGAAAGAGGTTCTTTGCCAGACGGGTGGCAGGGGTCACTGAATTCTGCCCAGCCCCACTCATACATAAAGGAAGAACAGGGAGGAATCATTCTCCCATGCTCTCCTCCTTCAAAAGACTCATCAGTCACATGGCTCCGATAATCTTCCTTCCTCTCACTCACTTGTCCATGCAGCCCTTCGACTCCTGTAGCCAAGGAGCTTCCTCCAGTGTTCCAGCTTCCCCCGTTCCCATTGCCAAAGCCATCTGCTACCCATCCCCAGAACAGGTTTGCTAAAACCTACAAGATACAGCAGGTACAGGGCAGTGACCACGGCCAATAAATCTCCCAGGGCTCTGCCCAGCTATTTTTTGAGTATCATTGACACGTGTCATTATTTTAAACACACTTGCATTTCCCAAATCAAGGATAAAATTGCATAATATTCCACTAATTTCTTCACCTAAATTTCTCTTTACTTTCCAAAGGACCAGAGACAAACTAATCAACATTGGGTTTCTACTTGGATGACCTGAAGAAAGAGAGCTTTTACTGAGGCTGGACTATATCTGCAAAAATAGTAGGTGAACAGAAAACCTAACTCTGCTCTTTTGTAACTGGAAAAAGCAACATTAACATTTAAGATGCTTGATTAGAATTGTCAGTGAAGCCAGGCTGGGTGGTGTATGCCTGTAATCCCAGCACTTGGGAGGTTAAGGCAGGAGGATTGCTGCAAGTTCAAGGCCAGCCTGGGCTACAAAGTAAGATCAAGGCCAATTTGAAACATACAGTGAAACCCTGCCTCAAAATAAAAAAATAGGAATTGTCAGCAAGAAACTGTACCATGTACCAGCACGTACCTGTCTTGGCACATACAGGCTGTCTGTCTGAGCTGAGTGAGGGCAGGGAAAGAGTCTGATAAACCATGTGTTCCCAGCCTTTTGCACAGTGCCAAACCTATAGTATGTGTATATTTAATAAATGTAGCATAAATGATCAGGAGGGAAAGAACTAGAGATACCTTAGTTGTGTACTTTATAAACTGACATTCCCAAGGCAACAATTGGGCCACTTGCTCCCACAAACAGATATGAGCTGTGAGAAGACAACAGCCTTTTCCATTAAAACTGGCCTGTAAGGTCCAGGATGTGAAATTTCTGTGGCTGCAGACATTTAAAAGAAGGAAGGAAAATTTATAGAGGTTAGTGGTTGCAGGCCCTGCTGGGATTCACTGTTGTCTACAGATAAACACTCTTAAGGACCCAATTTCTCAGCCTAGGTTTGGGTGGAGGGGGCACATGAACATAGCTAAGTAAATATCTATTGAGGGGCATATACTTTATATGGTTTTCACTTTTCATAACAGTTCCAAAATTTTTTTTTTTTTTTTTTTTTTTTTTTTTTTTTTTTTTTTTTGGTGCTAGGGATCAAACTCGGAACCTTACATTTGCCAAGCAGGCACTTACACTGCTGAGCTAAACTCCCTGTAAAAAGGTCAAGTTTTGGGGCTGGGGATTTAGCTCAGCGGCATAAGTGCCTGCCTAGCAAGTGCAAGATCACAAGCTTAATCCCCGGTACAAACAAAAAAACTCAGAATGTTGAATGACTTTATGATTGTCTTATGAACTGTATTTTGGCAATGAAAAAATTTAAGTTCAGGGAGATTTAGTAGGCCAACTGAGATCATACGCTTATTGGCACAGTGTAAGTGGATTCATAATGTTTGTTCCGGACGCTACAAGCAGGCAGAGAGAGGGCACAGCTCCCGGATCGGTGTCGGTGTCCTCAGCTAACTGGAGATGCAACCCACGCCTCCTGAGCTCCAGGGATCTAGGCTGCCTTCTGTCCTCCCCTCACCCCGACATCGGTGGAGGCCAGTGGACTCCCCTGAGCCTCTCTCCTTGCCTTATTGGCATTAATGCTGTGACGTGCTCCTGCTGACGTTGGTGTCTGGAGTGTCAGATACCTCGGCTGCAGACGGCAGAGGGGGCGGATCCGCAGCCGCTCCAGCACTAAGCGGGCCAGCACCGCCTCCCCGCCCAGATCCGCCTGCGCAGTCCGCTCCGCTGTCCGTAGCCGCCAGGATCCGCAGGCGGACTCCGCACGTGGGTGCGCAGCGAGGCCGGGACTACGTGATGGACTACAAGTCCCACAATGCCCCGGGCTGCGGCGGCGGCGGGGAAAGAGCGGAGCCCCAGGTGTCTGCGACCTCAGCGCCTCCCGCCCGGAAGTGCCCGTGGGGCCGCGATGGAACTGGCGGGGCCGGGAGGTGAGTGCCTGCGCTCGCCCCGCCCCGGGATCACCCGGGCTTTCCCGAGGCCCGGGGGGCGGGAAGATGGGAGGGGTAACGGGGCAGCGGGGTGGAAAGGGCGAAGCCCGGGTCTCTGAGGGATCGGGAGTCTGGAGGCCGCTGGGTTTAGACAGGCTACCCGAAGAGGAGGCGCGGAGTAGGGGCGCTGCGGGGGTAGTGGGTGTCCATTTGTGGGGACCAGGAAAGGGCCGAGCTGGCTGGGTGGCATCGCGCGGAGATTCTAGATTGCCCAAAGCCGGAGTTTGATGACTGGTGTGTGGGTAGCTCTGGGGATAAGTCCTTTATGGCGCTCGTGGGGTTCGGGTTCACGATACGGGGGGTGGAGCAGGGGACCAAGAGACCCCCCTGTCAGCCCCTTGGAGAAACTTGAGAGACTGAAGCTTAGGTGAGCTTGGAGAGAAGTAGGTGAAAGCAAATAAACTGGGATGAAGTGGATGAAAGTTTGTGTAGGTAAGCTTGGGGTGAAGTTTGGGGAGGGTTAAATGTACAAGAGGAGTTGTTTACAACAAGGTCAAGGGCCTCACCATAGAGAAAGTTGGGAGGCTGAGACAAGAGGATCTCCATGAGTTTAAGGCCAGTCGGAACCACATGTTGAGATCCTGGCTCAACAGTAAACAACAAAGAGACCCAGAACTCAGCCTTACAAAGTTTGGACTTGAGATGTGGTAATGGTTAGGGGCACTAAAAAACACATTTGGAGGTCAGAGCAGTCTGTGCTCCAGGGTGGGGAAGGCAACAGAAAAACCAGCATCGTGGGGGAGTTGAGCCGGGGTGAGCTTGGGGGCCTGCTGGAGCCTGGAGGGCCCCTGGCTTGTGATCTAGCCTCTCACTGTCCTTTGTACCTCCCTAGCTCGATAGCACGGCAGGCAAGCAGGTGCCATGGCCTTGATTGAAGGGGTGGGTGATGAAGTGACCGTGCTCTTTGCGGTGCTTGCCTGCCTTCTGGTGCTGGCCCTCGCCTGGGTCTCAACACATACCTCCGAGGGCACCGACACCCTGCTCCAGCCGGCAAGGACTCCAACACCAGCCCAGCCCAGCGAAGCCATGGCAGCCATTGACAGCATCAGAGGAGAGGCACCTGGGGCTGAGCCCTCCAGCCTGAGACACAGAGGTCAAGCTACACAACCAGAACCCGGCACCGGAGTCACAACAACACCACCACCAGCCCTGGACCCCCCCCAGGAGCCCCTAGTACTCCGTCTGAAGTTCCTCAACGATTCTGAGCAGGTGGCTAGGGCCTGGCCCCATGACACCATTGGCTCCTTGAAAAGGTAAGCAGAAACAGGGGTAGGAAAGAAATGCTAAGGGAGGGGATGAAAGTAACCACACAAGAACCACTGAGACACCTTCATATTCTCTTCCTCAAATCACCAGCTGTCCTTGTTCACCCAGGGCAGACTGCCCCCCAGAGGCCACAGCCTTGGTGATGTGTGGAGGGCAGGGCCAGGGCTGGGAGCTTGGCTCTGGACAGGGACTAGGATTGCCTGAGGCCTGCTTTCTTACCCAGGGCCCTCTCTCCTCAGGACCCAGTTTCCGGGCCGGGAACAGCAGGTGCGACTCATCTATCAAGGTCAGCTGCTAGGAGACGACACCCAGACACTGGGCAGCCTTCACCTTCCTCCCAACTGTGTCCTCCACTGCCACGTGTCCACGAGGGTCGGTACCCAGCATCCCCCCTGCCCACCAGGGTCAGAGCCAGGCCCCTCCGGGCTGGAAATCGGCAGCCTGCTACTCCCCCTCCTGCTGCTCCTGCTGCTCCTGCTCTGGTACTGCCAGATCCAGTACCGGCCCTTCTTTCCCCTGACAGCCACCCTGGGCCTGGCCGGCTTCACCCTGCTCCTCAGCCTCCTAGCCTTTGCCATGTACCGGCCGTAGTGCCTTCTCGAGCTCTCGCCAGCACGGCCGGCCCCTCTGGACCTTGCTCCCCACAGCACAGTGGGCGCTGCTGCCTGCCCAGGCCAGCTTCGCCTGCCTGCCTCTTCCCATTGCCCTGGAGCCCAGCTCTACGCCACAGGAGACTCCAGGGGCTGGCGGAGGCCCATCACTGTGACCTCCACAGCCATGGCTCTGGTTCGCCTTCCAGGGCTGCTGCCTCCCAGCCGGCCCTGACAGTCGGCTCCTCAGGGTCAGGCACTTGCTGTCGCTGCCTTGGTCCTGGGCAGACTGGGGCCACCACCCTGGGTCCGTCTTAGTGTTCTGCCTGAGAACCCAGCCATCTATGGTCCTTAAGAGGCTGATTTGGGGAACCACAGACAGCGAGAGCCTGGAGAAGGAGCTGGGATCTAGAACACATGCAGATTAAAGTAACTGTGAAGTTTTCACTCGCCGTGTGTTGTCTGTGGGGCTGAAAGTGGGCAGAAAGGAGGTGAAGAGTTGTCCTGTACAACTTGCCACCCGGGTTCACCGCCTCCCGCTTCGGCCGTGGGTCCTGTAGCCCCGCCCCTCGCCGGTAGGCCCGCCCCCGGGCGCGCGCACTTCCCGGAAGCGAGGGGCGGGCCCGAGGCCCTAAGAGTCGCCCCGCCCGCAGCGAGCCACGTCTCTGCTGTCCCTTCGCTGCGTCGGATTGGTGTGCGCCGGCGACAGGGGACTTCTGGGAAGATGGCGGACCTGGCAGCCTGCTGATGAGGCTGTGGTGGAAGCGTAGCTCCCAGGCCCGGAGGCCGGCCGAGGGAGTGACGTGTGCGGGGCCTAGGGAGTCACTAGGGTGGAACCTTAGGGGGACCGTGGGAGGGCGGTGGGAGCTGGCGTTAACGGCGGTGGCCACGGGTTCCTCACATCCTCGGGCAGGGGCAGGTGTGAGGTCTCTGGACTTCGCCGACTGTGCGCCTTCGCGACGCTGCGCGCTCGGGCCCCGCGTGCGTCCCGCAGGGTGGACGCTTGAGTTTTCGTTTCACTGACCGGGAGACAAGCAGAGGTGAAGCCGCTTGTCCTATGGTCACTCAGGTAGGAGGGAGCGCCCCTCTTAGGACCCAGGATCCGCCCGGCTGCGCAGCCCGCGTGCCGACCCCCATGCCACCTCCGCCTCCTGTGGGAGGGGAAGTGATCTGGACGGGCATCTTCGAGCCTACCCGAATCCCTTGCTAGGCGCGACCACCAGCCTCTCAAATAACCTCAGGCTTTTCTTAACCTCTTATCGCTCTGAGCCTTGGTTTATCCACCCGTGAAATGAATAATGCCAGCCCTGCAACTGTTCGGCCTGCACGGAGCATCAGAGGAGATAATGCATGTGAATTACTTTGCTGAACGCCCTGAAAGAGTAGGATTGCTGATTCCAGAAGTAAAACGGGGAAGAGAGGGCAGGATGGGGAGTAGGACTAGAGCAATCACAGAAGCCATCTGATCCCAAGCCCTGCCTGATGGGGAGTGAGGTGAGGAGTAGATAGAAGATTGTGCCTCTTTGGCCCTCAGGGTCTCCATCATCCAACTCCATGCTTCAAGTCCTGCTCTCTGCTCAGGCCTCCCCTACTCGGTTGTCTGGCATGCTGCTGATCCCACCAGTACCCTACTGTTTGGGGCCCAGCAAGTGGAGGCCCCTTGGAGATCCCCATCCAGGCCCTGTGCAAGGACTGCGGAGGCTTCTGGAACAGGCAGAAGAGTCCTGGGGAGCTGCTGCACTTGCTGCGTCAGAACCACACCAAGGTGTGCGCACACCACTACCCTGCGCTTCATGGGCTTGGCTGGCTCTTGTTGACTCGGCCTGGGGCTCTTCCTGTGGAGCAGGCCACATGGCAAGTCTCGAGTCAGCTCATCATCAGAAACTACCCTTCCTTTGACATTCACACCATGCATGTGTGTCTGCACGTTGCAGTCCTGATTGATGAAGAAAGCGACCGGGGGTGTAGATATCCAGGGAAGAGTGAAGAATACAGAATAGTGGGGACCTACATCAGAATCATAAGTCAACATTTGTTCCAATTTCCTAGGTGCCACCCCAATTTCCTTCCAATACACTTCTCTAGAGAGCTACTGCATTTTCTCACAAGTGGCACAAGATGACAGTGGCTTGCCATCTTGTATAAAGCTTCTCCCCACCAAGGGCTCTAACATGTCATGTTCACATGATGCTTTACATTTCCCCAGTGTTTCCATTTGGACTCGTGCACTTAACCACTCCGGAAACAGGTGGGGACTCATGCACCCCACAGTTGGAAAGGCCCTTTCATCAGGACCGCCTGTGACCTTCTCCACAGGCTTTCCACCAGATGGGCCCCCAGTGTGTGCCCTGGAGCAGGAGCAAATGTTCTGCCTCCATCTGAAACCACCTCCACCTCTATAGCCTGCCCTCCGAGGTGGGCAAAGACTCGAAGCTGCTCTGAGTTGCCCTCAGTTCCTACAGTGCCCATGGCGGCATCTGATCAGTAGCCTGGCAAGTGCTGGAAGGTTAAAAGAGATGGGACCAGGGTCTGAGTTTCCTGGGCTCAGGTGCAGTCTGACCCACTGGAGGTCTGGCCTGTAGGATCTGTGTGATCTTGCCTTCACAGAGGTGAGGCCAGAGAAACTCACACCCTGTGTAATGGTGCTCCTTGCCCTGCACTTGGCCAGGCACCAGTTGTGGGAACCCCAGCTTTTGGAAGCCATTGCCCACTTCCTGGTGGTCCAGGAAAGCCAGCTGAGCAGCAAAATGGGCTTGCCTGTGTCCTTTCCATACTCCTCTGTGGCCTCAGTGAGCAAACTCTTCTGCTAAGCTGCCCTGCTCCATTCCCTGGGGTGCCTTCTCACACCCTTTGTGGCTTGTCCAACACTCATGGCCAGTGCTGATACCTAGAACTCACGGTTTGCCAGAGCAGTCACCACTGTCCCATCCTCACATCCCGATGCTCAGAGCTTCAGGTATACACACACACACACACTCTCTCTCTCTCTCTCTCTCTCTCTCACCATATCCCTCTGCCTGCTCTGGTAATGTGGTTCGGGGCACATTGGCGTCCATGAGCCAAGATAGAGGACCATTCTGCCTTGTCCACAGTGCTCCCAGCTTGGGCCATAGTAGCTGGTGGGAGACCATGAGCTGCTGCCCGCAGTCATGCACTGCTCTTCACAGGTGGTGCAGAAGTTGGTCCTGCCTTTTGGGCGGCTGAACTACCTGCCCTTGGAGCAGCAGTTTATGCCCTGCCTTCAGCGATCCTGGCATGGGAAGCTGGGGTGGCACCCCTGGCCACAGTCAACATCTGGATGTCACTGTGCCAGCTCCAGTGCCTGCCCTTCAGAGTCCTGCACTTTGTCTTCTCCCCTGGTTTCATGAATCGTATCAGTGGTAGGCAGGGTTTGGCTGGCTGGAGGGGGCCAAGGAGAGAAGAGCATGGGGTCCCCAGGGCTTAGTGGCCCAGTGGGTCTCCAGTCCCTGCCTCCTTATGCACTGCTACCTCTTCCCTGCTTGACACAGTTGTGGAGCTGGAGCTCCCAGGATACCAGGGTCCACACCTTCCCCAGAGACAGCAGGTGCCCATCTTCCCACAGCCTCTCATCACTGACCGTGTCCACTGCAAGTACAGGTGTGTTGGGCAGTCACTAAGGAAAATGGCTCCCTGAGGTAGCAGAGGGTTTGGCCCAGGGTGGTGGTGCTCAGCAAGGGACAGATGGAACCTGGGACCTTTACTGGTGTTCATGTCCCTCAGTCACAAGGACATAGTAGCTGAGGGGCTGTGGCAGCTGCTGGGGGAAGTACCACCAGGACCTGACTGTGCATCCAGGCTACTGTACAGGTAAGTGGCACCCCAGAGAGGAAGCCTGGCTAAGGCCCAGTCGGTCTGTCTCCTGCAGGCTTCCTCCTGTGTGTGCTGTGCTCCCTGTGAGGACCCGGGATCCCTTCCTACCTTATCCACCAAGGTCCTGTGCCCAGGGCCAGGCTGCCTCTAACCCCACAACCCAAAACTCTGCCCAAAGGTAAAGAACAGGCTGGGCATGGCTGGGCCCTGAGACACTGATGTCGCAACGAAACCTGGACCATGTCTATTCCTTCAGGGTGGAACTTAGGCTGCATGAATACTGGCATTTCTGCCAAGGTGGCAGAGTGTTGCTGGGCTCTTGGGCTCTGAGGGAGCAGCACCTGGGCTTCATGGGCTACCAGCTTCTGCCAATGAGTGGCTCTGCACACTGAGTGCATGCGTGTGTGCTCTTGTGTCTGGCCGGCAGGTTACTCACTCCCTCCTTGTAGCTACCCTTTGAGGGGCTGGAGTCACAGAGAGGTCTACTGCAGTTCAAGAGCTACCTAAGGCAAAAGCTCCGGGCCTTGGGTCTCTACTGGGGACCTGAAGTGGGGGTGGGGGTGCCCTTGGGGCTCAAGACCCCCCCACTGGTAGGACAGTAGACAGTTTGCACTTTGACTCCTTATATTTTGGTTTTTCATTAAAGTCTCCTTCCTTGTCTATGGTGACTCTCATTTCTGGGGACAGGAAGCAGGGCTGGGCCCTGTCACTTCCATTCGTTGCCCCACATAAACAGTCAAACTTAGGTGGGGGCTGTAGCACTTTACTGTGGGGGTGGGGAGAAGGGGACTTTAAATTATTCACTTAAATAAAAACAGGCAGGGGGAGGGGGAGGCCCATCCCACCAGCCCCCAATCCCTCTGCCCACTGGGCCCTCAGCTGTCCCTGCAGGTTGCAGCTACACAGGCATGGGCATCTCGTTGTACTCGTCCACGCCCTCACGCTCATCAAACACGGGTTCTGCCTCATTAGCATCCAACTGTGGGAAGAAGCGCAGGCTGGGCCTTTCCAGAGCCCTTGGTAAGAAGGCTGGTGGGCAAGGCAGCAGGGGACAGGGCAGGGTTCTTACACATTTCATCTCTCGCTCTGTGAAGATGCGGGTGAGCACCACCATGCGCAGTGGCACTGTGAGGATGAGGATGAATGGAAAGGCCAGGGAGGCCGCCGTGGACATGACAGCCCAGAGCAGGGCCAGGCAGAGCAGCTGCAGGGCTGTGAACAGGTGCATGCGCATTGTGCGGACCTGCGGGCAGAGACAAGGTGGGCCTGGGCTCATCCCCAGCCAGCCGCATCCAAGGTCTGGGACTGAATGGCCCTTCTTCCTTTTCAGCAAGAGGGCCAGAAAGCCCACTCTGTGCAGGACAGGAAGTGGGGGCAGGGTGGGAAGCGCATCTGACCCAGTAGAGCAGGATGGAGTAGAGGGAACTCACCTTCTTGACATACATGACATCTGGGTGATGTTTGGGTGGCATGAGCAGCAGGTGTAGCCGCTCATAGAATTGGATTCCGTTCAGGGAGGTCACCCCCATGTATAGGAAAATCCCAAAGAGCACAGCTAAGGGGATTTGCCGGAGTAGATCCCCGATAACTAAGGAGAGTCCTGGGAGGGGAAGAGAAAGTCAGTCCAGGGTTTGACTCCCTCAGTGGCCCTGGGGACCTAGGATGGTTGCAGCAAGGGGCACCATACCCACGAGCAGGGCTACCAGCAGTCCTGTCACCCGTTGCTCCTTGACCTCCTGAATCTTGGGCTTATCCCCGGGTGCCACAGCCTTGCTCATGACAGTGAGCGCGTTGGCATGAGTGACTGAGCGGACGGTAGCAGCAGCCAACCAGGGGAGGCCAAAGAGGGCACAGATGCCACCCATGGCCACGATGAGCAGCAGGTCCAGGTGAAAGCCAGAGCCCTTCTGCAGCATACGCTCCTTTTTGGAGATGATCAGCCTGCAGGGGAGAGGGGCAGTCCCTCCATCTGCTTATAAAGCCTGGTGGCTCCTGTCCATGCCACCAGGACTAGAGCTCCCTCATGGTGTTGTGCTGTGCCTCAGCTCTGATCCTGCAGGTTACCAGCCTGCCCCCTCTATGCTCTGTCCCTGCTTCCACTCCACCAACATCAGCGACATTTTCTGCTGCCTACAAAATAAACTTTGGCTAGCCTGGTATTCAAGGTCTCTCAAGGTCCTTGGGCACCACTGCCTGACAAGAGCGCTGGTGATTCCCATGCTTATCCCAGAGCCTGCCTGGACACTCAGGCCGCGCAGGGTAGGGCTGCTCACGTGGTGATCTGTGTCTCCATGAAGATGAGGATGAAGACCAAGATGGCGGGTAGCAGGCTGGCCACCATCATCCACACGGGGAAAGGGCTCTTCTCCCCCAGAGGGTTGATGATCCAGCCCCGCTTTTCAGGGGCTGTCACAGAGAATCCACTGGGCACACTCAGCTTCTGCAGGGCAGAGACAGTGGGAATCAAGGGCCCTGGGAAAGGCTTGATGTCTGCCTGGCTTAGGGACAGCTCTGGCTGGGGCTGAGGGTGGAGCGGAACCCCAAGACCCAGGTGTGGGATCACTCTAGCACCAGGCAGCACGTTGTCAATCCAGTATAATACTTACCTGCGTGTAGGTGTCTTGAATACTGTAATCCACGAGCACCATGATGAGGATGGCGATGGGCACTCCAAAGTCCCCAATCACCCGCCGGATCTGTGAAGGCAGGGACAGGGCTCAGAGGCCTCCTGCCCCACACAGCCCCTCATGCCCCAACTACCCCCCACTTCCTATCCCCAGCTCCCTCTGGCCTGCAAGCCCACGCACCCGGCCAGGGAAAAACCGGCTGTTCTTAAATTTTCGCAAGAAGAAGGCAATGAAGAAGGTGCCAGCCATGAGCACCAACGACAGCAGGGCTGTGTTGGGCTGGCCCTGGGGTCTCTCCACTCCAGCCTGCTCAGCTGAGCTTGTGTTGCCGTGCCCCGGTGTAGGTGCTGCCTCGGTCCACGTTGTATTCTTGCCACCATCTGCCTCAGAGCTGTTGGAGGCCAAGCAGCCATGGAGGGGATGCTCCTGGAAGATCTGGGGAAAAAAAGACCAAACAGGACCTTATGAGCTGGATTGTAGGAATGTTCATTCCTGGGCCCAGCTGGATGCTGGGGGCTGGGCAAGCAGGGGACAGGCCAGCCTGCCTTGAACTGCTGTCTTGTTGGATTAAGAAAATGATCCGATAGCCGGGCGTGGTGGTACATGCCTGTAATCCCGTGAGAGCCTGAGGCAGGAGGATCCCCACAAGTTTGAGGCCAGCCTGGGCTACACACTGAGTTCAAGGCCAGCCTAAACTACATAGCAAGATCTTGTCTCACCAAAAGGGGGAAAAAAAAAGACCCTGGGCCAGGCATGTAGGCGTAGAGTGAGTGCTTGTCTAGCTTACATGAGGGTTTCATTCCCAGCACCGAAAAAAGAAAAGGAAAAAAGAGAGGGAGGGAGGCAATGGGGGAGGAAGGAAAACTCAAGAGGGCCAGCTGTGAGCAGGGGCTACACAAGGTTAAAAGAGGACTCAAGGTTGTAATTCCAATACGGCATTCTGGGAGGCCACGGCAAGATCACTTAGTAACTCAGTGACTTACTGAGACCCTGTTTCAAAACACAAATTTTATAAAGAGCTAAAGATGTAGCTCGGTGTAGTCCCTGGTTCAATATACAGGGGGAGAGACAGACAGACAGAGGGAGTGTCCAAGCGGTGGTAAAGACAGGAAGGTCACTGGGGACTGTGCCTGGGATCAGCACTCTCCCAAGCCTGTTACAGATCTTTGATCCCAGACCAGGACTGCATCTGTTACCTTGAGGCCCTCTGCAGACTCCTGAATTGTTTGACTTTTGAACAAAAGCACAGACTCCCTTTGTTATTAAAAAATTTGAGTTTTTGAGAGATTGACCTATAAAGCTGGTGTTTGGATGTCAGGGAGGCCAAGGAGAGGGACAAAGCCTAGGGGACAAGACCCAAGACACTCCCTCCCTGCCCTCCACCCCATTCCCATTAGAGCCACCCCACCTTGACCAGTTTGTAGAAGGTCTCATAGATGAAGATCAGGGAGATGAGGAAGGCGAAGATCTCCTGGGTGAAGCGGGACACAAAACGCACGAGGAAGCTCCCCTCCAGGGCCACCATGAGCAGAGCCAAAAGCACCAGCCAGAAGCCGATCCAAACCCGGCCCACCAGGTACTCCAGCTCGTTGCTTCTGCAGAACTGCATGGGGGAGGCAGGGAGCTGTCAGAGCTCTGGGGACAGGGGAAGAGGAGGACAGGGAGAGAACAGCACTGGTGCAGGGCAAGGAGAGCCCTACCGAGTAGAAGGCTTCCTCGAAGACCAGCAGCGGCCCCGAGAAGCCAATCACCAGCAGTGGCTGAGCCCCCAGCAGGCAGAAAATGACACCCTGGAGGGCTGTGGACATGATGAGCTCCGACACACCTATCAGGTCATGCGTCTTCTCTCCTAGGGGTCAGGGACAGGTTCAGGAGCTGGGCCCTGGACTCTGTACACCCCGCTCCTCCCCAGAGCACTCCTTTACCCAACAGCCCTCCAAAGGTGATCGCTGGAGACAGAGCCGCAAAGTAGATGAAGATGACAGCAGCCAGGCACTGCGGGTCAAGCGCATCGCGGAAGTCACTCAGGTAGTGGGGGTAGCGGCGCTTCACATCTCGGATCAGTCCTCCAAAGGGCCGGCCTGTCCGCCGCAGGGGGTCATCATCTTCTACTGCACCCACCGCCTCTACCATCTGCAGGAATGCTGCAAACCAGGCCTCCGTCAGGGTGTCCGTAGCCTTGCGCCCGTCCGCCCACCCTGCCCTGGGCAGCCCTGTGCAGCCTGTGTTGCCACAGTGTACCCTTTTCTTGAGCAGACTTGGGCTCCAGCCCAACCCCCGGGGGCAGCAGCCGGCCTTGCTCCTCCCGCTTCTTAAGCATCTGGCGCTGGAAGTGGGCAACAGATCGCAGCAGCTCCTCGCCCTGCACCTCTGAGGGCGGCAGCACCACACTGCAGTCCAGGAAGGCGTTGATGGCGGTCAGCAAGTCTTCCCGCTCGTCTGCCAGGTAGGCTGCCTCGTGGAATTGCTGCCAAAGCAGGACTGGGATCAGGGAGCACAGCAGATTCGAAGTGGGGCAAGGTGGGCAAGGGGGTGGGAAGGTACTGCCGGGGGCCCAAGATT